CAAACAAACAAAAAAAAGTATCATGCTTATTCAGGAAAAGTAAGAAGCTCAAGGAAGTGTTTCTACAGATTAAAAAAATATTAAAGATCAGTAGAGATGGCTTGAAGGATTATAGGAAAAACACTGTATATAAAATTCCTATGTCCAAAATCCTACTGGTTCTTATTAAATATGGAGCTTTATTAATGTCACAAATACCAGTGCTATGAATAAATGGTATGTTCTCTTCTGAAAATCCCAGAACTATAAGTGATTCCCCAAAACTGGGCTACCAATGAGACTCTACCACTCTCTGCTCCCACCACCCAGCCAAGAATAGAGGCTTGCTCTGTCACCCAGCCTGGAGTGCAGTGGCGCCATCGCGGCTCACCGCAACCTCTGCCTCCCAGGTTCAAGCAGTTCTCCTGCCTCAGCCTCCCAAGTAGCTGGGATTACAGGCACCTGCCACCACACCCGGCTAATTTTTGTGTTTTTAGTAGAGACGGAGCTTCACCGTGTTGGCCAGGCTGGTCTCAAACTCCTGACCTCGATCCAACTACCTTGGCCTCCGAAAATGCTGGAATTACAGGGATGAGCCACCGTGCCTGGCCATCACATTTTATTCTAAGTGCTTGTTTCCCCTGGAGTTAGATGGGACTATTGAGGAAGAGTATGTGCTTGTTGGGCAAAGGAGCACTTCTGCAGACACAGGCTGGCATTGCCAAAAGCACAGGCTGATGACCACTTTGACTTTAACAAAGATTGGGCCCATTCCTACTCTAATAACTCAGACATGTCAGATAACGGATAAAGAAATTCTGCATAAGAAAGGTGATTTAAGAGTTTAAATGGATGATGTCAGAAAGTAAAGCTTGGTAAAAAGTTGAGAATCATCTGTGTTTTGATAGTCTTTTTTCCTAAAAAAAAAAAAAAAAAAAATCACCCAAATCACCCATATTTAGAAGAAAGCCATAGTCTTCTTTTTCTTTCTTTTTTCTTTATAAAACTTGATTTTGGGTGCTTATAAAGAAACTTTTTAAAGATGCTAATTTTAAAATTTGTCCTCCCTCAACATGATAGGAAAATATTTACATTTTATGATGCATCCTCCTATTTTTTTCAGGTAAATGTCTCTAACCCAAACCCTCAGTTTGATGTTTTAGCATGTTTGTTTTACTGTTTCCATTGAAACCAAGAAGAAAATCTCTCTATTCTCAATCATGCATTTTAATCTCTCATTCCCACAAACATGGAATATTTATTTAATACTTGAGGTATTAATTTAAAACTCTGAGTGTATACTTAGTCTCTTATTCCTCTCCACCCCAGTCTTTGAAATAGAAACATAAAAGTTTATTTATTCACGATAAGTTTATACACAGCTTTTCAGGAATAGAAAACTGTACTGGGTATTAGTAAGTATATGTAGATTGTTTCAGAGTGATTAAAAAATTATTGAAACACAGACCACTTACATATGTAAAATGTAGTATACTTTAAAGGTAAGTACTATAATTAGTAAATATATTACTGTTAAATAACTTTTTTTTTAAGTTTCAGCTGGGCATGATGGCTCATGCCTGTAATCCCAGCATTTTGGGAGGCCGAGGCAGGTGGATCATGAGGTCAGGAGTTCAAGACCAGCCTGGCCAAGATGGTGAAACCCCGTCTCTACTAAAAATACAAAAAATAATCTGGGCGTGGTGGCTCACGCCTGTGATCCCAGCACTTCGGGAGGCCAAGGTGGGCGGATCACAAGGTCAAGAGATCAAGACCATCCTGGCCAACATGGTGAAACCCCGTCTCTACTAAAAATACAAAAATTAGCTGGATGTGGTTGTGTGCGCCTATAGTCCCAGCTACTCGGGAGGCTGAGTCAGGAGAATTGCTTGAATCCAGGAGGTGGAGGTTGCAGTGAGCTGAGATCGTGCCTCTGCACTCCAGCTTGGTGCCTGGCGACAGAGTGAGACTATCTCAAAAAAAAAAAAATTTTTTCAAAAAAAAATAGCCAGGTGTGGTGGCGGCTGCAATCTCAGCTACTCGGGAAGCTGAGGCAGAGAATTGCGTGAACTTGGGAGGCAGAGGTTGCAATGAGCTGAGATCACGCAACTGCACTCCAGCCTGGGCAACAGAACAAGACTCCTTCATAAAAAATAAAAAAATAATAAAAATAAAAAAGTCTGTGCACATGGGCTCTGAGCAGATTTCAGATAGTTCCTGAATAAAAATCAAATGACTGCCAGTTGCCATTTTATATATTTTAACATATAAAAAAAAATCAAAAGAGAGTCATTTAAGGACAGAAGATCAGCTAAAAAGCAAGTTGTCATATTTATAACAATTCTGCAGGTGGAGGTGGCAGGGATTCATTAAGATCTTGATCAGAGTTGGGAGGAATAGAGAACTCCTGACACTGGATCTCAAGGTTGGAATCTTCTTGGTTTTTCATAAAATCTACTGGTGGCGGGGGCAAGTTAAGTGAGTCAGTGGGGGGTGGAAATGATTGTATTGTTTCAGATTTATGATCTCCACAGTCTTGATTGAGACAGTCCAGAGATGGAGGAAGACTAGGAGAATCATTTGGAAGAGGAGATACAATTATCATTGTGGGTTTGACAGACTGGCTACTTTCCTGTCCTTCCAAATCCAGAAGGGGAGGTGGTGGAGGCAGATCTGCATCATCATCTGAAGAAACAGCAGTTCCAATTGTTGATCCATCAGCACTGTCTTCTGATGTACCATTCCCTTGATCTTTTATTTTCTCTGTTTTGGGGTTGTTGGAGTCTTCAATGTTTTCACTTGATTCAAACAACTTAATTTCTAAATCATCTGCTAAAAGTGTGCTTTTGCTTGGCTTCCAGGGTGTAAGTGAAATGACTGAGGTACGTTTTGTGGGTATTTCATTTTCTCTAATGTTATCCATACAAATGTCAGGAGTTTCTCCATCAGCAAATGGAGATCTACCTGCCCAATTTTGATCATTTAAAACTGGCTTCCTTAAGCATTTCCAAAGTACAATAATGATTATAGCTACCAACATAGAAGTCAGAAGTACACCAACTAGTATGGCAGCTGTTGAATTATTATTGTTTTTTTGTGGGGTTTTTTTGTTACTGATAGCATCTAAGATAAATCCTGGTGTACTCCTAGATGAATTTTTGACAGTTGATGTTGGTTGTGTGGATGGATCATGAACAGTTGGTGGTATTCGTTTTCCAGAAGGGCTCTGGACAGATGATGATTGTTGAGTGAAAGTATAGACAAATGGCGGTGGTTGTGTGGTAGAAATATGGGTAGATGGTGGTAGTTGTCTGGCAGAGGTGAATACAGGTTGCTGGGAGGAGTTGCTGGCTGTTGGTATTAGTTGTTTGGTGTTATAGGCAAGTGGTTGTCCAGCGGAAGTATGTGCTGCTGATTTTCCAGAAGTATAGACAGCTGGTGTTGGTTGTCCAGCAGTGGCTTTGGCAGATGATACTGACTGTCCAGAAGATGTGTCATTGAATTGTGTTGATTGACCCAAAGGATTCTCTGTTGTGTTTTGAGAATTAGCTAAGACATATGACGTTGATGATCTGAATAAGGTAGGCTGTGGCTGCTTCTCTGTTGTAATTGTCTCTGTCTTTGAAAAAAATATATTGTTCAGGTGTCCACAAAACAACATTAAGATGAAATATTTGGGATCCATTTCAGAATGTTTTCTCCTTACCTATAATGGGTTTATAATGAAAGAAAGAGAAAGACAGTTAGATGTCATTGGTGTTTAATTAAAATTTTGACTTTTCATTATAATGCCTGGCATAAAGTAGGTAGACATTATTCCTAATTAGTAGTAGTTGATTAATGGTTATTATTCCTAATTTAGACTTGACACACTGTAGGCTGGTGTAAAAACTCTTGGATATACACTAACCCATCATACAGCATTTGGACCTCATAAGCTGTGATCTCTTTTAATTCTTTTATTAATACAAGATCTGTATTTGGCCCTGCTGCCCCCTAGCTTCATTATATTTCAGTCCTTCACCTCAGTCATACTGCTCAAAACGCATAGGCTCTGTATGCTGGATCCATGGGTTCTCTACCTTTCTCCACCTTTGCTACTAGGAATATATTGTTTCTCCTGCCTTGAAGAACACCAGTGACCATCTATTACTTAATCCAGTTGTTTTTTATTTCTTCTCTCCCCTCCCCTCCTTGACCACATTAGACACTACTATTCCTTCTCTAATATTCGAGTAGCTCTTTGTAATCAGTCTTCCTTTCATGTTCCTCTCACTAGCTCTTTTTCTCCTGCCTCCTAAGTATGGATAATGGATATTCAGTCCTCAAACTTACCTAGTTTTCTTTGTTCCTGATGCTATAAGATTTTAGTTCTTAGGCCGGGCACGGTGGCTCAAGCCTGTAATCCCAGCACTTTGGGAGGCCGAGGCGGGTGGATCACGAGGTCAAGAGATTGAGACCATCCTGGTCAATACGGTGAAACCCCGTCTCTACTAAAAATACAAAAAATTAGCTGGGCATGGTGGCATGTGCCTGTAATCCCAGCTACTCAGGAGGCTGAGGCAGGAGAATTGCCTGAACCCAGGAGGCGGAGGTTGCGGTGAGCCGAGGTCGCGCCATTGCACTCCAGCCTGGGTAACAAGAGCGAAACTCCGTCCCAAAAAAAAAAAAAAAAGATTTTAGTTCTCAGCTTTATGCCACAATTCCCAACCTCATGTCCAGCCTAAATCTTCTTTGTTCTAATTCTATTTGTATGACTTCTTGGTGGATGTTTCCATGTACATATCCCACTATTGGCAAATTCAACATATTTAAAATGGAATTCGTCTATACCCTCACAACTGACTCTTCACCCAACTTCTCTGTGTTTGTTAATGGTACCACCAAATTTCTTAGGCACAGAATGTATTAGTAAGCTTTGCAGCATCCTCAGTGTCTCTGCAGCATGGTAGCCTTATGTTAAGATTGTATATTTTTAAAGGATTAAATTCAACTGAGAGTCCTAGTCTTAAAATCCTAGAGTGATCTCCAAATCTGGTGGAGTCAATCCAATCCAGTTGGTCAAGTAGTCCTGCTGCTGCTTTCTTTCATTTATTGGTAAATAACACGTTTGTGTGGAGCCCTGTTCTAGGTTTAGGAGATTAAAAAAAAAAAGAAAGAAAAAAAATAGTCAGTGCCTTCAAGTGTTTCAGATTTTAGTGGTAGAAGCAAACAGTAATGGCCAGGCGTGCTGGCTCATGCCTGTAATTCCAGCACTTTGGGAGGCCAAGGTGGGAGGATTGCCTAAGGCTGGGAGTTCAAGACCAGTCTGGACAACATAGTGACACCCCATCTCTAAATAAAAAGAAGAAAGAAAAAAAGTAAAAAATAATGACAATAGGCCAGTCACAGTGGCTCACGCCTGTAATCCCAGCACTTTGGGAGCCCGAGGCAGGCAGATCATGAGGTTGAGAGTTCAAGACCAGCCTGACCAACATGGTGAAACCCCATCTCTACTAAAAATACAAAAATTAGCAGGGCATAGTGGCACACACCTGTAGTCCCAGCTACTTGGGAGGCTGAGGCAGAAGAATCATTTGAACCCAGGAGGTAGAGGTTTCGGTGAGCCAAGATCATACCACTGCACTTTAGCCTGGATGACAGAGCAAGACTTGTCTCAAAAATAAAAATTAAAAAATAATTACAATTTCTTTTTTTTTTTTTTAAGACAGAGTCTCACTCTGTCACCCAGGCTGGAGTGTACTGGTGCGATCTGGGCTCATTGCAACCTCCACCTCGCGGATTCAAGTGATTCTTCTGTCTCAGCCTCAAAGTAGCTGGGATCACAGGCACGCATCATTACACCTGGCTAATTTTTGTATTTTTAGCAGAGATGGAGTTTCGCCATGTTGGCCAGCCTGGTAGAGAACTGACCTCAGGTGATCCGCCCTCCTTGGCCTCCCAAAGTGCTGGGATTACAGGTGTGAGTCTGGCCCAATTACAGTAATTTGATAAGCTTTCTCATAAAGGTATGCAGGAGATGTACAGAGAAGTTAACTTAGCCTAGGAAGGCTTCAGAGAAGCAAAACTTGAACTGAATTTTGAAAGGTCTATAAGAACTAATTAAACAGATTTCCAGCCAGGGAGAGCAACAATGTGGGTGCAAGAAAATAAGGCACATGTGTAAGTTTGGCAGGTAGGGCTTCTTCTGGGATGCGGTAGATGCTAAAACTTGGAGAGTTAAGTTCCAGTTCTACTTCTCCCATCTAACTACCTATCTAACCATGAGAACTAGTTGCTTAACCTTTCCTGTTGTCAATTGCCTTTTCTCTAAAGTGAGGAGTTCTACTGAGACAATTTTCAACTTTTAGTTTAATATGCTTGTTTTGCACATCATCAAAGACAATGGCAATGACTTGGTTATTTCTTGATGTTAGGGAATAGAAAATCTTAGGGTGTTAGATATTGGTATACGTGATTGGAAATTGACTCATAAACCTATATTTAGAGATTTGACGGTCTGTTGGAAGGTGCAAAGGTTTTGCAAATTACCTTTCAGCATATCTAAGTAGTTTTCATTGCTTACTTCTCTACCACTGGGTACACAGTGATGATAAATGATCCTGTTTTAGTAGAAGAAAATATATGTGATTTTTTTTATACGAATACTTCAAACCTAAATTTTAAACAGTTTTCCTTTGAACTCTCCTGCACACTGCTGATGAGTTAATGTTAAATGCATGCATGATCAGGTTACTACTCCCTTGCTTGTGGGTTTTCTATTTCTGTTAAGATAAAACTTCCTTTTTTTTCTCCTTTTGAGAGAGAGTCTCACTCTGTCACCCAGGCTGGAGTGCAGTGGCATGATCTTGGCTCACTGCAGTGTCTACCTTCTGGGTTCAAGTGATTCTTGTGCCTCAGCCTCCCAAGTAGCTGGGACTACAGTAAGCATGCACCACCACACCTCACTAATTTTTGTATTTTTAGTAGAGATGGGATTTCACCATGTTGTCCAGACTGGTCTTAAACTCCTGACCTCAAGTGATCCATCTGCCTCAGCCTCCCAAAGTGCTGGGATTACAGGCGTGAGCCACCGTACCTGGCCTGTTAAGATAAAACTTCTAAATTGAGGTTTTTTTCCTTTTGGCTTGAGTTAACCAGGCCAGAGTCACATGTCATGACTGAAACTTCTTATCCAGCCAAACGTATCCCTTCCCCACCTTACAGACTTCTGAACACATGCTTTTTACCCCCTAAACAGACACTTTTATGCTATTTTTTACTCTCCTCAAGGGTGTTTTTTTTTTCTTCCAAACCTAGCCTCTTCCTCTTTCTGGCTGCCTATCTGAACCTGTCCTCATCTTTCAGAACTCAGTTTAAATTCCCCTTCTTAACCTAGTTCTGTGTGACTGAGTACAGCCCAAAGAGGTCAGTTATTTGCTGAATCCCCCTAGCTCTTATTTATTGTTTTTATGGTTCCTTACATAATTCATGTATGTACCTCACTCACGCATCTATTCTCTTAAATAATTGTGTTTATTTTTTTATTACTTTTCACATTTTCTTATACCTACTTCCTTGAACAAGATTATAAAGAACCTTGAAGAAAGCAGAAAGAAAAGAAAGAAAAATACTTATCTAGAGCATACTGTGTGTTGTACTTTCCCAGTATTGCATACTTTATTTCACTGAACCTTTAAATGACTTTATGAAGAAGGTAAAGAGACCCTTTATTTACAGATAAAGAGACAACATCAAATGAGTTAAGCAGTTTGCCTGATGTTATACCACTCCAAGTGACAGATTGGGAGTTTGTACCCAGGGCCATCTGATTCCAAAGCATACATTCCAATACCCTGTATTGCCTCATGTTTTCTATTTTGATTTCTCTGCAGTATAATGCCTTGTATATTAGGAGCACAGTAAATATTTAACCTGTGTTGGGTTTCTTAATTCCTTTCCATTTTACCTTTTACTAGTACTTCTACCAGAATATAAGCAGAGACATTGAAATATGTGTTAATAAATTTTGCTTTTTATCCATTTTACAAAAGATTTGATATCGATCTTTTGGCATAGATATAGGGATTTGAATCATGTTTAGATGGTCATCATCCATGCAGTTCCTACCCATTATTCTTACAGATTACCGAAAGGAAAAAAAAAAAGGCAGAGGGCTTCATTAGAAAATGTTGTTCTTCAGAGTTTCATTTTTAAAATGTGTTTTAATGCTAATCAAATCATCAGAAAATATAGGCCATGAATTCTTTAGCCAAAAATGTTTCCTGTTTTGTGACTTTGCTTAAAATAAGGAAACCATACGGTTCCTCTTTATAGTTAGCTGAAAAAGGCATTAGAGAAGGAAAGAGCCTAAGCAGGAACACAATTATAAACCCAGGTTAGTTTGTAAGATGGATTTTGATAGATTCATATCCTCTAATGTCAGTAGGAATTTGGTAGAACCTTCCTTGTGTGAGATTTTCACTTGTCACTTAACAGTTATGGCATTATTAAAACGAAATTCCATTTTTACCGATCTTTTCTCCTACTCTTCAGTTAGCTTTTTATCCTCCTAGGATCTGCTACATCAGAATAATAGAAACTGTATTAGAATTCTATGATGGCAATTCAGCATAGTTCAGAGAAGGTGAAGAAAGATTTAAAAGAAGAATAAATAGGGACTACAGTAGTAAAAAAAAAAAAAAAAAACTAGCTTTTTTCCCAGAGGTAGTGAGGCCAGTGTTATTACTAGTGTGGAAGGTTATTTAGCATACACATTAAAAAATATGTAAGTGATGTGTACCTGAACTACCAACATTTTTTCTGTAGGGAAAGAATAACATTGGGCAGGGGAATAAAAAGGAGAAGGAAATTTAGAATAAGATAAAAGGCAATGCAAAGAAATACAAAATAAAACAAAAGAGAAAAAACCAAAACTATAGGAAGCTGCAAAGAGAAAAGAAGGTCAGTTGACTAGAGAAGGTATAGAAAAGAAGAAAACTTAATAAACAGCTGAAAAAATCAGTAGTTATATAATTAGCAAGAAGGCAGGGTAGAAGATTGAAGTAGGCGAAATGAAGAAGTTGAGGGAGATGACTGAAGTAGATGAAAGAAGCAACCACAAAATGCCGCTCTCTCGTGGCTGGACTGTGTTTGTTAGTGCAGGAGACAGTAAAGAGGAGCTTGCTTTCTAAGATGGAGGACCAGAATGAACCATCCTTTCAAATTCATTTACCTTTCATTTCAGGCTCTCCTGTCTGCTATGAGTATCCTTACCATCTTCTCTGTCTCTCTTTTTTTACCCCAGCGCTATTCAGAAGCATACCTAGCAGTTACTCTGGAGAGCCCGTGTACCTGTGTACGTTTTATATAGAGTTTTTCTAGAAATCCCTTAGTTTGCTGCTCAAATACCAAATTTGTCAGCCCTCATATCCAGTATTTTATTCATTATTGTAGGCTGGCTCTTTGAGGTTAAAATCTGTGATTTTGGTTCTTTTTCTTTGCTGAATATTTAGAATATTTTAAAAAGAAGAAAAACAAACTATTTTAACTAAACATTTTAAAGACAGTTATAGTGAAGCAGGAGTCCCCATGTATAACACATATTCTATTTTTTTTCTTCTTTTGGAGACAGGGTCTCACTCTGTCACCCAGGCTGCAGTGCAGTGGTGTAGTCTCAGCTCACTGCAATGTCTGCCTTGTGGGCTCAAACGAGCCTCACATCTCAGCCTACCTAGAGTAGCTAAAACTGCAGGTGTGCGCCACCACGCCCAGCTAATTTTTGTATTTTTTTGTAGACATGGGGTTTCATCATGTCACCCAGGCTGGTCTTAAACTCCTGGACTCAAGTGATCTGCCTGCCTTGGCCTCCCAAACTGCTGGGATTATAGGCATGAGCCACTGAGCCAGGCAATAGACAATGTTCTTATAAATATAATGCATAAGTACATAAAGAGTTCAGCATTTAAAATTGATGCTGTTAAGTTAGATATGATAGGAAGTATGCCATTGTCTTTTAAAGAGAATTAAGATTTGGTGAGCATATCCTAGACAAAAGACAAGTATAAATAGCGTTATCAATTACTTTCATATAATAAAAGTTGTGATGCAGATATAACAGGTTAAAATTTAGCATTAGTATTATCTCTAGTGAAGTTTTGAAACCATAAAAGAAAAATATAGCCATTTTGCATCTTGAGGAAGAGTGGAAAGGGAAATTGACCTTAAACTACAATAGGAAGTATTTGATGACTATCTTGTATCAATGATAAGACCGTTTACTGAGCACCCAACAAAGGCTAAGCAGTATCTTATTTTAATGACAAGGTGGTGGTTTTTTCACCCTACAGATAAGCAAACTGAAACACACAGATATTGGGTAACTTGCCAGTATCACAGCTCTAAATAGTGGCACTAATATAAAAATCATGCTAACCTTGTGCCAGAGCCCTTTCTGTCACATGTAACTATATGTGCCATACTGCCTTTCATAGAAAAGTTATGAAATAGAAATGCTTTATGAAGGAAGGAGATGTGAGTTGGCAGGAATAATATGTAAATAACACGTATAGGTAGTCTTAGAGACAGGGTAGGAAAGAAATACCAGAAAACTCATTTTAGTCCTGATTCTACTAAAACAATTAAAAGAATTTTGAATGGTTTCTGTAAATTGTCATATTCAGTAGTTTACTGAAAATTTTTTGGTGATTTTTTTTTTTTTAAAGCTTAGACATTGAAACCATCAGATTTAGGTTTCTCAATTCAAAGTTATTCAAAATTAAAGTTTCCTTCTAAGTAGAATTATGAAGGTATTAACTGGAAAACACAGGCACTACCAGTAAACTTTAGACGTGGGTCTCACCTTTTAAAAACATGTATGGGGCTGGGGACAGTGCCTCCTGCCTATAATCCCAGCACTTTGGGAGGCCAAGGCAAGCCAAGCACTTGAGGTCAGAAGTTCGAGACCAGCCTGACCAACATGGTGAAATCCCGTTTCTACTAAAAATACAAAAAAATAGCCAGACATGTTGGGTGCCTGTAATCCCAGCTACTTGGGAGGCTGAGGCAGGGAGAATCACTTGAGCCCAGGAGGCAGAAGTTGCAGTGAGCCAAGATCGTGCCACTGCACTCTAGCCTAGGCAACAGAGTGAGACTCTGTCTAAAAAAAAAAAAGTATGGGATTCTGTGATGACAAAGATACACCATTGTCAAAGATTCATGGGAAATTTTTTAGTTTATTTTATGAAATATGAGAGTGAAAAATTAATATGATTGTATGACAATATGCATAATGACATAACTAAATATTAGAAGCAGAAAAATATGTAGACAAGCTTTATCTGAAAGTGAGTTATCTTTATTTTTTGACTTCCACAATAATTACTTAAAAGAAATCCTTCTAAGAGGAAGTCATAAGTATTTATTAAGTGTTGAAATAGGATATCACCAACTATGATGAATGTATTATTCCCTGAAATTACAAGTCTGTGTAAAATACCCTTTGCAGTTTTTATTTGCCCAGTTTACCCACATAGTAAACATCTTTTATGCATATTAAGAATTGTCTGTTGTTTATTCTGTGGGTTTTTTCTATCATATACTATTTTCTAAAGGCTCGTAATATGTGACATAAAGACATAGACAATGTTAATATATGTGTGCATGTTTGATTACGGACTAACATTTTTGACTTAGTAAGCATTTAAAATGAGCCGTAATGTTTTCATGTCATTATTAAATGTAAAAATCTATGTGTAAAAAATTAAGCACATATAGTAATAAATAATAATAAAATACCACATCCGATTTCTTTTTTTTCTTTCTAAATTAAGTGAAGGTGACCATTCTTACTATGCAAACTAAAGGGAATACAAAAATGTTAATTAATGGACTATATTATGTACAGGAACATTTTATAAAAAGTAAATTAGAACTTTCAACAATTAATATTTTGGAGGTTGTAAATTCAGTCATAGCCCATGGAATCTAGTTCTATTTCTAACCCTTTATCTGCCATGGCTATAGTTTCTTTTTAATTATAAAACTAAGATTAACAAATATGATTGTGGCTGGGCACGGTGGCACATGCCTCCCAGCACTTTGGGAGGCTGAGGTAGGAGGATTACCTGAGGTCAGGAGTAGGAGACCAGCCTGACCAACATGGTGAAACCTCATCTCTACTAAAAGTATAAAAAAATTAGCCAGGTGAGGTGGTGGGCACTTGTAATCTCAGCTACTCGAGAGGCTGAAGCAGGAGACTCACTTGAGCCTGGGAGGCAGAGGTTGTAGTGGGCCAAGATGGTGCCATTGGACTCCAGCCTGGGCAACAGAGCAAGACTCCGTCTCAAAAAACAAGCAAAAATACTCAAATATGATTAAATAAACTTAAAAGATGTTATACAAACCTAGATGGAAATCTTTTTCTAAGGCAAGCTCAACACTGAGTCTTTTTAATTCTATACAACAAAGCCACAAAAACCGGTTTCATACATCTTTAGACTGTCAGAGTTTAAGTTTAAAACACTAATGACAGTTTTTAAATAAATTTTATACAAAGCAAGATCAAATTTTGTGAAAATTTTCTTACCTCAGCTGTTAACTTCTTTTGCAGAATGCTAAATTCTTGTTCTAACTGGACATTTTGGTGATTTGGCTAAGAAAGCAAAGTGAGTGGTTCAGTTCAGATTTAAAATGTTCCTCTAGCAAACCGAAATAGTTTCTATAGAAAAAGAGGAAGTTTATCAATAGCTGGTTCCGGAAGTGCAATAAACCACAAAATGACTAAGAAATATATTACTTTAACAGAACTTATTTTGAAATATATTTTGGAGCCCTATGATTTGAGTGCTTTTAATTAATTTATGTAAATAAGTATTTGAGACACTCTAGTAATATGATCATATAATTTAAATATTTAGGATGGAGTCCCGAAGACAAAATTACATGTTCTAAGAAGAAAAGCTGCCAGTGGGGTTATCACTTATAGTGAGATTTCTTCTCATAAGAAGTGAGTGGTGTGTTCTGTTTACTTGTATGACCTTAGGCAATTCTTTGCACTTCTCGGTCACCGTTTCCTCCTCTGAAGGAATATTTTATTGGGTTACTGTGAGGATTAAATAAGATAGCATAATATAACATGTATAAATGCTTCACACCCTTGGTTACTGTAGGTAACCAATAAATATAATGTAATTTCTTCATAATATAAAAAGCCCAGGGTAAAAGTATAATTAAATCATTTTGCGAATGACAGGATCTCATTCTTTTTATGGCTTAATAATACTCCATTGTGTATATGTACCATATTTTCTTCATCCATTCATCTGTTTATGGACACTTAGGTTGCTTCCAAATCTTGGCTGTTGTGAATAGTGTTACAGCAAACGTGGGAGCACAGATATCTCTTTGTACTGTTTTTCTTTCTTTTGCGTATATACCCTGCAGTGGGATTGCTGGATCATATGGTAGCTCTATTTTTAGTTTTTTGAGGAACCACCAAACTGTTCTCCATAGTGGTACTAATTTACATTCCCATCAACAGTGTATGAGAGTTCCCTTTTCTCCACCTTCTTGCCAGCGTTTCTTATTGCCTGTCTTTGGGTATCAGCCATTTTAACTGGGGTGAGATGATGTCTCATTGTAGTTTTGATTTGCATTTCTCTCATCAGTGTGTTGAGTACCTTTTCATATGCCTGTTTGCCATCTGTATATCTGTAATTAAACTATTTTGACCATATACTTTAATGATTTTTGAGTTCAAGTTCACAACTATTTATTTGGTTACCCACAAAGTAGTTACTTCTCAGTGGAAAATCAAATAAATTGGGGATGATTTTTTAAGAAGTTAGCTAAAGTTAAGTTGTTAACTTTTTACTAAAGGATAAGTGAGGGGTTGGGGAGACGGTGGTACCAGTTAAGGAGTACAAAAAACAATAGAAAGAATGAATAAGACCTGCTATTTGATAGGACTATAGGGTGACTATCGTTAATAATAATGTAATTGTACATTTTAAAATAACTAAAAGTGTAATTGGATCCTTTGTAACACAAAGGATAAGTGCTTGAGGGGATGGATACCCCATTCTCCATGATGTGATTATATCGCGTAACATGACTGTATCAAAACATCTCATTACCCTTTAAATATATATACCTACTGTGTACCCACAAAAATTTAAAATAAAAAAAATTTCAGTTAACTAAACAAAGTATATTGAAAAGAGTGAGTCCATCTGAATAAAAATTTCTTTAGGTAAGTCACCTTTCCTCTCCTGAAAAATGGAGATCATAATTCCTAATTTATAAGCTTATTGTGGAATTAAATAAATATAAAGTATCTTGCATGGTGCCTATTATAGCAGATATGGAATGTGTTAACCCATGTACTGCTTTTTCCTGGTCACTGCGGGAAACACAGGTTATTATGACGTGGTTCTTAACTTCAAGATACTTATAACTTAGCATAAAAAGAATAGCTTTCTTTTTAAGGGCTCCTACTGTAAAGCATAATATAATCAAATGCTATAAAGCTTTTGATTCACTGGATTTTAGAGGTGGTGGTGGTGGTGCCGTTTTTAGAGACAGGGTATTGCTATGTTGCCCAGGCTGATCTCGCACTCGTAACCTCAAGCAATCCTGCTACCTCAGCGCCTCTAGTAGCTGGGACTGCAGACACATGCCACCTAACTGGCTGGCTGGGTGACTGATTGATTGATTGTAAAGATGAGGATCTTACTTTGTTGTGTAGGCTGGTCTGGAACTCCTGGCCTCAAGCTCCTGACCTCAGGTGATCCTCCCACCTTGACCTCCAAAGTGTTAGGATTATAGGTGTAAGCCACTGTGCCTGACCTGATTCACTATTTTTAAATCCCTGAATTAAGCTGGTGAACTGTAATACCCAGGGGTAGGAAATATGTTTTTGTTTAAAACTAAATGACTTTTAAATTTTGAACTCAAAAGATATCTTACCTACCATCTTTAAATACCTGTCATTTGGAAAGGAACCACTTCTGTTTGTTCAGTAACTGTCATTAGATAGTATCATTCTGAGAGTATATGTTTAATAGCCAAGGTAGTGAATGGTAAATTTTAAATATTCTTTTAAATATTACTGTGGTAGAAGCTCTCTGTTTGGTGAGAAAATGTTTGACCAGTATGTTGAATATGAAAGTAATTTTCTAGTTAATTTCCTACTTTTACAAAGATACCAAATTTTCGTCATTTTCTCTAACAAGTATTTATTTACGACACTTGATTCAAGGAATGCTTTGTGTTATTACTGGATGTCCTGGTGCACAATCTCAAATTTTTAATTTTTGCACAGAATGAGAAGTCTTCCCAGCTTCATTTCTAATCTGGGCCATTTTTCCCCTCAAAAGATAACATGATTTCAGTCACCATGACTGGCATGAATATTCTCATGCTTTCCCTTTTACTTTGTTGACACTTAACTTTAGGATAATATTGTTATGATTTTTTGTTTAGGGAATAGATTTGTTTTTTATAAATTGCTAATAAATTGATAAAAATGATAATAAAAATTTATTTTTTCCCCTCTCATTTTCATATGTAACCTAGATGTTTGAAGCGATGGAACTTGTAAAAAGTGAATTTGATAACCAAGAGCAGTTATCACCTAGAGAGTTATATAAAAATTACCAATGCCTAGAGGTCACCCCCTTCCAGTTGCATCAGAAGGAAGACATGGGAATTGGGCATTGGTGTTTTTTAAAAACTCTTCAGGTGATTCTGATATGCAGCCAGGGTAAGAATCACTAGTTTAGAAGGAAGAGTAAGACTGTGGTCATACTTGGGAAAAAATATATTAAAAAGTTTTCTTAAATGACTAGTATATTGTCCAAATTAAATGCTCAATAAGGGATGAGATTTTTGAAATGTGGTCTGTGTTAATTTCAGTAGATATTTGGAAAGTCGTTCAAACCAATTTTTGTAATATATTTAATTGAAGATGGGGGTCTCGACTTAAATGTAAGTCATTATTTTACTTGAAACCAATTTCTTTAAAGGTTAAATAATTACCTGAAGTATCAGTTTTCCAAATTTGAACACACACACACACACACACACACACACACACACACACACTTCTGTTTCCTTTGGTCATGTAACATTAGATAGTAAAAATTAATCACTAGGCTACTTGGCATCCTTGAAGTCCAAAAATTAATCAGCCTTTGGGTACTTGTTGTTAATGTTCCAGTGAGTAGTATTTATAGGAAAGATGAATATTATTAAACAGTAAAATATGCTTTGCTTTTACACTTAGCCTATTGATGTGGCTGTAAATCTTATTTCTTTTAGTTTTGCTCTATTATTGATCTTTACAATGTGTTCTTTAAAGTAATAAAGTGAATGCAAATATACATAGTCACAGGTTTATTCTAATGACTTTTAATTTATTATGCAAAATTAAAGGTTTAATTTAATATTAATAGTAGAAAAACACTTTCTTACGTGTGCCATAGGGAAAGATAAAAAGCACCTAGGCTAAAATAAGCTGTGTTGATTGATAAGCTGGTATGGATTCTGCCACATCCAGCAAAGAAGGTACCATTAAATTATACAGCTTAGCGCTATGCATTAGGAATTTGACTCCCATTTGATGTTAAAGCATGTACTTGGCTTTAAGGACACACTAAAACTCTTCAAAGTTTAATTACGTTCAGACAAAGATCATCTTATCACGATCGCTATGTAGGGAATATTTATTTAATTATCCCTTGCTCTTAGTTTTCTCAATTTATCCTTAAAACTTTCCTTAAATGCTTATTTTATTATTTGCTTTTTAAAAATATTCGGTGTCAAAACAAAAGGTTTAAGTGATTAAGAAGGCATTCTTCTCCCTCTCTCACCTGCTTGATTCTAAATTGCAAGGTCTACCATGTCAAATTTTAGATCATCAGAACAACACTTTGGCATTAAATACCAACTGACTTCATTTTTATTCCATAATCCTTCTCATTGCCACTTTGCAGTTTTCTTCACTAACTCATCTATTTGCCAGTAAGTTTTTCAGTTCCTTCTTCATCTTTTCTTTCCCTTGTATCTGTAAGCACTCCAGAAGATTGCATCACTAGGTTGGATCCTGTGAGCTGTTTTGCTCTTTTCCAAGTGTCTGATTCAGCAGGCCATAGACCGCTTGCCAGAAAATCGCCATTGCTTCTAGGCTGACGCTTGCCTACTTGTTTTGATCGTCTGAGAGTTGAGACTTTGTTTGCCAGAACCACAGTTGATAGAAATAGAAGGGTGCAGATAAGAAAAAGCACTGCAATTATAATTAAGCAAATTAGCATAGCCATGTTGTTGTTGTTTTCCACACAGACATCCTTTTTGAAAATTTCACCATGACTTTTGCTTGTGTTTTCAATGCTCTGTACTGTTGAAGGACTGTTGCTGACAACAGAAGGTAAATAAAGCTCCTGTTCAGATTTAGAAGTAAAAGATACAATGTGAGATGTTTCAGCCATGTTTGTAGAATTACCTTTATAATCTACTTCAGGAGTTACAGGGTTTATGTTAATGTTTTCATTTTGGTTTCTGCCTGCCTTGTTTTGAGTAACTGAATCCCAGGAAGTAGTATTGTTAGCCCACAGATGGGTATAGTTTGCTTTTGTTCCAGGAGACAAAGAAAAAACTGTTGTCATCAGAATGGCAAGATGTAGGTAATGTCCTGTGTCTTCCATGTCCGTGGGCATACTG